TTATCATTGAATATTATTTGAGTGAGAACCCTTATTGTGTATTTGTGGTTTGACTTTCACACCTATAATTGGTTTGATTTATTATAACGGTGTTAAATATATTTTAATTGGTTTCGCTCTTATTTTGCGGATTAGTCGTGGTAGGCTATTTGAATTTTAAATATGGTTGTGACTACGAATACGACGTCTGTGCTGGGCGGTACGCCTATTACGTCTGCTATTGCTACGACTAGTTCTGGGGTTAGCTCCGAACTGTCGGTGATGACGACATCGTCATTGTGGCCGGCGCCTTCGCCCGTTTGGCCGACAATTTCTTCAGTAGTGGCTACGACGGTGACAACGTCGTTGACCTATTCCGCGCCAGCGACTATGTCCTTGGGGTCGCAGCCCCGGGACAGTCGCGTGGGTTGGATCTATGACCTCTCGAAAGGGGAGCTCATGAGAACGATGGACCAGTATGGTTTGGTGACCACTGGTACTTCTGCGGAATTACGGCAGCGATTCTCGTCGTTTTGGAAGCAGCGGAATGCCCGTCGGTACAGCGATGATAGGCTGCGTACGGCTGGGGCTGCTGCACCGACATATGTACCGCCGGCTACTACAACTGTGGAGCTTCCTGACCCCCCGAGAACCGTACCTCAGGTACTGGGTAATGCGGAATCGAATCAAGCAGAGATAGTGGGACTTAGCAGGGAGTTAGAGGTGGTTAAAGAGATCCTTGGGTTGTCTTTGGAGACTGATACCCGGACTCTTAGAGAACATCTGGCATCGGTGGTGCGACAGGCGAGAGGCTCGCCGAGTAATGGGGTCGGCTATGGGTTCGAAAGACCCGCCAACCCTACGTCCCCTGTTGTGGCTGCTCCAATGCCTACCTTTGGGTTACCTAGTAGACCCGAGGGATGGCAGCGGCCCAATGATATTTCTGAGAGACCAGCCCGGCCTTCTAGTGTGGAGGTGCCACGTGGATCGGGTATGCTCTCGAGTGAGGCCAGCAGGGTGGAGCCGAAGAATTGCTCCAAGATATGTGACATGGTCCGAAAGTGGGGTTTGAAGTTTGATGGACGTAGAGACCCTGTGTCATTCCTGGAGCGTCTTGAAGAGCTGATGGTCTCGTACGCTATATCGTCGGAGGACCTGCTCAGAGCGCTGCCGGAGCTATTGCAAGGCTCAGCGCTTCTATGGTACAGGAATTGCAAGGAGCTCCTGTATTCATTCGAAGCTTTTCGGCATCAATTTGAGATCCAGTTCCTTCCACCTGGTTATCAGAGGAATTTGGATGAGGAGATCCGGAAAAGGACACAGGGTGAAGGCGAGCACTTCCGGGACTACGTTGTTGCCATAAGTACCTTGCTTAGGCGTAGCGGTACGTTGTCGGAGCATAGTAGATTGGACCTAATCTACAATAATATGCGTCCAGAGTACAAGCTGATGGTACGCCGGCGTGACTTCAGCAACCTGGCCGAGATGGTGGAGTTGGCTGAAGACTATGAGGCCTATCTTCGAGAGAAGGCCGCCTTCCGACCTCCTCCTTCACCAAACGTAGCGCTGGTTTTGGAAACCGCCTATGTTCCCAAGAAGAAGGCTGAGAAGTGTTTTGAAGTGGCCGTGGTCGAAAGACATAATTTTCAGAGACCATCCCTTGAGACCAAGTCGATTGGGCAGCGAGTAGATTTTGACTCTAACCGGGTCCGTGAACAAAGGCCCGTAATGACTAGGGGAGTGGCAGATGGTGCGAAGGATGTACGGTGTTTTAGGTGCCAGGAGATTGGTCACTTTGCCAGAGGCTGTGGCAAACTAAGGACCGTCTCCTGTTTTGGGTGTGGGAAACCCGGTCTTACTGTGAACCAGTGTGGATGTCGTGCGGGAAACGGCAGGCCAGCTCAGGCATCAGGAGGTCAACTGGGCAAGGCCACCCAAAACGAACGACCTCAGAAGAGTGGTCCGAGTGGCTCGGAAAACTAAACAGCCTGGTTGGTGGAGTAGACGAGGACCGGCTAACTTTGGACTCTAGGCCCTTAGTTGAAGTTGTGCTGATGGGCAGCGTTTTTGTGGCGTTACTGGACACTGGGTCCGTCGTCAACTTGGTTGGGCGAGGAGTCGCCGAACATCTTCAACGCCTGGGGATAGAGCCTTGTAAGAAAACCACTCCTCTAAGGATGGCAGATGGGTCACGGTCTAGGGCCGAGTATTCATTCCGATTGGCAGGAGAAGCTGCGGGAAGACGGTGGGTTGGAGACGCCTTGTACGTTCCCACTCTTACCACGGATTTGATTTTGGGTATGGATGCCATACGAGATCTCGGACTTGTGACGGTCGTGACGGAGGTGATAACAATGGGCGTGGGTGATGACTGTTCTGGCCAAGGGGGCCGCATAGACAGTGTCAAAATTGGTGACGAAGACCCCGAAGGCCCTTGCAATGGAAATCCCCGTCTGGTTCCTGATGCCAAATCATTTAGCACCACGTTGGCTGGTAGTGGGGAGTAGAAGAGTTTTTCTTTGTTTTGCTTTGAGACCCGTGGTAAAAGAGGAATCATTGGGTTAAGAGCCGGAGTATTTTGTTTTGGCCGGAGTTCAAAGATTTTTTTTTCTTTTTGGCCGTTTTCTTTTTTTTCATCCCGATGTAAGTGGGGGATGTAACGAGTTATTTTCCCTAGGGGGGTATATTTTTGCTATTTGGCCGCGCACCGATTGTTGAGGTGAGCGAGCGGCGGCAGCGAGGCTAGCGAGCGCCCTTTGACCCGGCTTATCAGTGCCGATAAGCCTGGGATATCCTAGATCTTCAGGACAGTATAGGGAGGACATTCGAGTCGTGGATCCCAGTGAGTGAGGATAGCGTGTGTCTAGTGAGACGTCCAGTGGTGTACGTAGAGAGGAGTGCTGTGGTGACATCGGTGTCGTGTGAGGTTGGTGCTCAAGGAGTGAGTGTCGGCATTCAAGTTGGGTAGTGAAACAGTGACCCACTTGGGGTGAGTGGACGACGTGTTATTATATTTTGGTTTAAGAGAGTTAGAGAGTTAGAGTGGTAACCGTGCTGGTCGAAGCCTGACGGTAGTTAGGATTTATTAGTCAGGAATAATATTAAAGTATATTCCTGACGGTTCTGGGCAGGTGCTAGAGCGCAAATAATATAATTTAATTGACTGTAGTAGAGATTATTTTGCGTTGTACCTAGAGTTAGTTATATTACTAATAACTCTGAGGCCCGACAAACCTAGGCTGCACGATTTAGCGTGCGTAGTTGGAAGCACGAGGCCAGCAGGCTAGTAGCTAGTTTTATTAGCCTATTAACAGAAGCCCAGCTAAGTAACATAAAGTTGGTAGTAGCAGTAGCAGTAGTAGGGTTGTTATTGGTTATTCATTTGATTATTTTAATTTAACCTGAACAGCTTGCTTAGTAGTCCAACACGTTATCTTGGTAGCTTGGATAGCGGAGTACCGGCTATCAGATAATATATTTATCTAGTGTTTGGAACGTATTTAATATTTATTTATCTGCTACTAAGTAGCTCAATATTTTAATAGTGCAATTGCCATTTAGTTTTGCTTGTTTGGCTTGGTATTTATTGAGACCAGCTACTAGTGGTGTAGTCACTCTACCTATAGTGTACTTGTATATTATTATGTGGTACGATTATTGAGTGAACTGTTTGATTCTTAGCTTGGGCATTAGAGTTGTGTATTGGATTATAGTAGCCTAGTGGACCCCGCCTGGTGATAACACGCGTTGTGGTTTTTATTGGCAAGTCGTCGTGTAACTCACCGTGTTTTAGGCACTCTGGGCTTAACTATTGGATAGTTAGGACGAAGCCCGAGTTGCGTAGTCAGCAACGACCCCCTAGGAGAGTGGAGAATCGGCGTAGGCCTGGTAGTGATTATTGCACGTTTGTTGTGGTGACTTGTTTTTGACTTGTTCACAGTGCCCGTGTATGAGCCAGTCTTATACCGGTTAGACCCGGCTTTTGGCCTAGTGGTTTCCCTGACCTTGTCGCAGACCCTGGAACTTTACCCAGCCATTGTAGGCTGAGCTATCCCCGGCAAACGGTTGCGACTGCACGCACTGTTGATATTTATTTTCCCAGTGCAGAAAAGTTCGTCGCATATTTAAATAGTTGATTGGGTTATTTATTTATTATAAAATGTTGTACAAGGAGTATTCTATATCAGGAGATTGGGAAGCCAAACACTCAAGTCCCATTGCTAGTAGCCGCCAGCAGCCTTCCTTGTTCTCCAAAAAGTCTGTAGGAGCGCCACTATAGTTCGGCCGCTTAGAAAGCGACCTCCTCCAGCATTGGTTTAGCATTAGCGCGCAGGTCGTTTTCTAAGCGGCCGAACTATAGTCAGACATCACTAAGTCCACACAGTTAATGTATTTCCTGTGAAAATTGTGTGGACGTGTGTGATGTCCACATAAGCGACCAGGTCCACACAGTCTGGTCACACTCACACTCATGTCCCCACAGCTTATGCAGCACGAAAGCACACACACACACACACACACACACACACACACACACACACACACACACACACACACACACACACATATATATATATCCATATATATATATATATCCATATATATATATATATATATATATATATATATATATATATATATATATATATATATATACATATATACAAATTTGAACTAATGGTGTTTTTGGCCTCTGGGGTCATCAAAATGAAAAAGTAAATCGGTCCCGGGCCTAGGTCTTACCATGCCACCTACGGTAATACCTCCTCCCCTTATGGGGAAATTCGCTAAAAATTATAAAATTGAATTTGAGACATTTATAATTTTATTTTATGAACAGAACTATTTTTTGCGATTAGTAAACCTTCATTGCCAAAATGCTCTCTACTACAGCGCTGTTCTCGGAGGAATTTTGAACTAATGCCTCAATCGTACCAATCGTACCTCCCCTGACCCACTGACTGAGCTATAATTCTTTTTTTAGCTCAGTGGTCAGACCCCTGTTTGAGAGGCAACCTAAACCGTTTTGAGGTTAGACAATGTACAATTTAACTTTAGGAGTTAAGTTTTTATAAATAAGACGCCTGTCTTTAAGTATCTTACATTTATATTTGTCACTGTATGACCTATAGATTACTCGACTGGATTTGATACTGATTTACTGGTTATCAACACTTAACAGCTTTGTTTACAGTTTTACGAAGTAACTTAACCATACAAAGTATAGGCCTACTAGTGTGAGAAAGGTTGGGTGTTAAACGGTATTTAAACTAACTTCCTTAGCTTAGGCTACATTTTAGGGTTAAGTTATGTATTTTACTGGCATATAACTAGAAACAAAATTCAAAGCTTTGATTTAAGTTAGGCTAGGCCTAGGCTAAGTTGAGTAAAACGCAGAGGATACGCGCCTGGTAACCGGACGTGGATTAGGTGTCTGGCAGTTATTACTGTCATAACCGAAACAACCAAACTTGCTGATAATGAAAAAATCGAATGAAGGTTAAATTCTGTTCATCAAAAATAAAATTAGGGTACACAGGTACAGTTTCTTAACTGGGCTATGCTAATATTGATTGAAACTATCGATTCGATTAGTAAACCTTCATGCGATTTTTTCACCATCAGCAAGATTGGTTGGTTAGATTAGGTTATGATAGTTAATTTTATAACAGATAGCCTATATTTAAAATATCGATTATTAATCAATATTTCCAATTTGATAGTTTCAATCGATATTAGCATAGCCCTGTTAAGAAACTGTACCCAGGTACACTTCCATATCTGTTGGCACAAACAACCGAATGAAAATATCGATCGTTATATCGAACTAAACAATCGAATATAATCAATATTACTCATTCGGTTGTTTGTGCCAACAGATATGGAAGTGTACCCAATTATAAATGCCAAAAATTACAGTTAAGAAGAAATTAATTACATTCAGAGCAAAATCTTTGAAAAAAAGTTAGTTTGGTTAGGCTACCGATGGGATTCGAACCAGGGGCCGCTTGCATATCAGCTGAGCACTCTATCCACTACGACTACACCACAAACACCGATGGCTGTACATCGTATCGTTGTGGTAATGGCGTTCCGGCCCTCCACAACCCGGTGACGTCACTGCCGGATGCCTAATCCACGTCCTGTTACCGGACGCGTATCCTCTGTGTAAATAAAATCCTATTAGGCCTAACTAAGAGTTTAACCAATATATTAAATTAAATTAGCACAGCCTTAAAACTTGAAATTGTTACCGGTAGCTTGGGAAAAGTTTTGTATTTCTATTTAATGTTAAGTTAGGTACTTTTTTCAATAGTCAGCATTGGTCGGTAATCATGTTGATCAGTCTAGGAAACAAACATTTAAGTTACCGGTACAGCCTAAGGCCCAAAAAATACTATCATTGTGTACACACGCACATTTGGTTACTGAGATTAAACTGCTTTAAGTTAGTTTTTTTGCCAAATATGACTAGGCTAGTGTAAGTAACTTAGATAAGTTAACTTAGCCCATTTCAATAAATTTTAAAAATTAATTTTAGGTAACATTTTGGTACAACTTAAGTTGTGACTCCAGACATGCGCCATTCGCCAAGAGCACAAAATATTTGACGTTGGGTTATCTTGTCTTGCTATTCACCTATTAACGAGTAGTTGGCTACACACATCTGAGCTCCAACTGTTTGTTCCGGGAATAGCAAATATTTTGTTCACTTTGATAAGTGCAAAAAAAAAAAAATTAACGGAAAAACAAGATTAGGCTACGCATGTTTGCTGCTTGCCAAATAGACAAACACCTAAGCTTATCCACACTACTCACGATTCAGCGAGTCACTTCTCAGTGCTTGGCGAAAGGCGCATGTCTGGAGCCGCCTTTAATATGATCCCGTTGTACTTAGTTGACTTACTTACTTATTTCCTTTTATCTCCTATGGAAGCATAGGGCATCCAGAAGAGCTCTCCATCTGTCCCTATCTCTAGCAAGTGCGTTAACTTTTCCCCAAGTCTTGTTAACTTCTTCACTTCTTTAATTATGGTCCTCTTCCAGGTTTATAGGGATAGCTCTTCTTCTGACACCTTGTGGGTTCCAACTCAATCCCTCTATCTCAATGGTTCTGTTTGGTTTCCTCAGAGTATGTCATAACCACACCCACTTCCTCTATAAAATTTGCATGATCTGAATTTACCAGTTTCTCTTTATAGATCTTTGTAAATAAATGGATAAAACACTGTAACATTTATTGAATTGTTAGTTCTAGGATGCAGTATACATTACCAATTCTTCAGCAGCCTGTTCACATACGTTGTGACAGTATAGCAAGATGGGTTGATGAGTGTACCAATAAGGATTTAGAAAACTTATTACCGGATATCGTAGAAGATATTTTTGGAGTCAAAAACAGAGTTGGATGGGGATTAATGAGCATAGAATACAGTTTAAACTCAGGAGAGTATGACTTGCTATTCAAGTTTCTGCATCCTAATGGACCAATGTTTCGCCTCTGTTACAAACTTTTGTCAGACCCTTATATTAAATACAAATTCCCACTTGCCTTCCTACCTGTAAGTATTTTAAACTATTTTTTATGTTTAAGTTATGAATTTAACTGAGTGAAAAGTTTCATAGTAATGTAAAATGTTATAAGTTTCATGGCCTATTTGAAAATAAATTTGTATTTGTTTCCCTAGGGAGTATCATTTATGTAAGAGTAGGCCTATTGTAAACTTTTGAGACCTTAAAAACCACAGAGAAGTGGGATGCAGAGGATTGAAGGATATGAGACAACCGTGCGCTTTTAGCTCTGGAATGGTGGGGCGGAAATATATTAGTACTAGATAACCTGTTGCTCGAAATCGAGCAAAACTGATACTTGTAATAAAATAATGAAGAACAAAAAACATGAACAGCAAAACCTCAATCATAGCGTCACTCTAAAGTAATTTCTATGACTGATTATAGAAATGTGAAAAATGTTATGTTGTAAAAAAATTGTAAAAGTAATCTACGGTATTTAGGCCTAAATATAGATCCGTTCTCATACTGCTTTGGTTACCTCTTATGTACTGTGCCCTCTATGAGAACGTAGATGTCAACCACACACTGTAAAGTGAGCTTTTCAGACCAGCAAGCTAAATCCCTCTCTTGACGCCAACCAGTACGTCACATACTATAGCATTGTTAAATTATTTCTACGAAATGTTCTGTTTTAGGCGTGTTTAAATTAGGTGCCCCAACCAAAGTCTCCGGTTGGGAACATAAGAGTGGATTGGATTTAACGACGTATCTAGAACGGATTCGCGTTTAACACTATTAGTTTTTAAAGAAAAAAAGATTTATTTTGCAAGGTGGTGCTCTATTTTCAGCTTTAAAAATAGCTGGGAGATTTATTTAAGTAGCATCATTGTAGAGAGGAAAGTCACTTCTTTTGTCTTTTACTATGCACATGAATCTCACTTGACTCCTTGGATCTCTCCTCCCTACACATTTCTGCCACAATTTTAAAAGATTAGGCAAAGAAGTTGGAAATGTGACCCTATTCCCGCATAATTCTTCATGGCATTTTTTGTTTGAATTGTGTTTCATGCGCTGTTGGGTTCCAGTGCCAACGTCTTACTCTTTTCAACTATACATCTGTGCGTGTTCAGGATGACCTTCTTAAGGAATTATATTACCAATTTGGAGGTAAAACAAACATGTCATGGATCTTTAAATCGTAGATCCCCTGTGTGACCCTCTCGTCAAAATGAGCTTCCATGGCAAAGGCAGAATTGAATTGGCTAATTTTATTGAGATAATTTCTGGATCCAAGCCTCACAGCCCTGTTTTCAGATTGGATGGGGTTTCCAATAAGTTCCTGAAAATATGGTGAATTCTGCAAATGAGGTAAATAATTAACCGATTGGATGTATCACCACGGCAGTACTGCCACTCTGTATCCGTCAAATTGGGAGGTCGATGCAAGCGGTCACGTTTGCGTTCCCTCCAGCCACTCACACAAATTTAGATAAAATATGAAAGTTAACCAATCAACAGAAAACACTACAAAGGAATTTTGATACACACTGTAAATTACATGATAATATGGTAATGTAACGGGTAACTGCACTGTGAATAATAATTTTCAAACATTCATTTAATCACACCGAACTGTAACCAACACTAACACGAAAATTCAGTAAAATACGATGTAAGGTAAATAAATTCAACTATTACAAACAATTTGTTGTCAGGTCTTGCTAGCAAACTCTTTATTTATGAACCAGACTCAGTTAACAGATGTTTAAATAAAAATATAAAATTCCGGCTTTGGTCTGGAAGTAATAAGTCCTGAGATCTGAGGTTAAACTAAAAACCCCCGCCGCAACAAACCTGCAGACTAAGCGAATTTCCATTTGCCTGATTCGATTTACACTAAAATAAAATGTCTCTTTAAAAATATCAAATTTATTCCCTATTTAAATAACATTAGTTTAACGAGTACTTAGGTTTGCTGCAACAGGGAGGGTAAAAAGTTTTTTTTTTTTAAATAGTATGAAATGAATGCATTTTCAAAATTTGATCAAAATATGACCATAAACAAGTCTACAACAGTTTACTTATTCTCCATAAGAATAACATGGGAATTTTAAATTTACAGTTTTTTGGAATTTTTTCCGTAACCATTAGCGCATAACAACGCTTCAATACACTAAATTATCTGTCTTTTTTAATCTCTACAAAATGGTTTGGAAAGAAAATGCTAAATTTTTAGTTTTTAAGGTAAAAAATTGGAAAAACCAATTTTCGCCCCATAAAACCCCCCATAAACACCTGTTCCCATAGTCCGATTATGCTGGTTTGCAAACTCGTTCGAATAAACGCAGGTTTACACGTTTGTGCCAAATTTCATCAAAATCGGATGATTTTTGCTCGAGTTATCGCGCTAACGGACACATAATGAATTTGAACGGATGGTGTTTTTGGTCTCTAGGGACCTCAAAACGAAAAAGTTAATCGGTCCCGGATCCAGGTCTTACCATGAGTACTACGGTAATAGCTTATTCCCTATGTGGGAAATTCGTTAAAAACTATTTCAAACTACGTCCATACGTTTAGTTGTAAACAAAGGGAATTGAGTTTGATGGTTTGATCTAATGTCAACAGATAGCACCACCGTTCCCAAACTTTAGCCCTTAACTGTATTTAAGTGATACCCCTTCTTAATATTCTGAGACGTATTTGCACATCTACGTGAAAATACCCTTAATATGACACCTCAAACGTTAAAATCCGTCAAGCCGTTATCGAGTTATGACTGTGAAAAGAAAACTGCTTGCGTATTAATATATAGATATGGAGCAAGGAAGAGCTCGAACGGCAATGGCCACATAGCATATTTGTACAGCAGTTGTGGCGCACAGGGTCTTCCAGCTTCCTACAAGGTGAGTGCTGTAGTACGTGATGGGGAGGGGGAAAAGGAGAGCGAAAGGGGATGGCAAATATAATTTACTCTAGACCAGCAACTGGTGCTAGACGCCATTTAAATGTACCATTCATTGTATCCTCTGTTTATTACTTCTCTGTGGTAAAAATGTTTACAGAGCCAGTATTATTTTAGGTTACTAAAAACTAGTAAAACAGTCAAACCATTAGGCCTACATAAGGACTTTCCATTAAATTGGTTTCCTAAAAGATTCTTTTAATCCTCCTCAGCATACTTGTGCATTAGTGCAATTTACAACTCTTATCTGATAAATAAGTTGAGGGCTTGAAATCTCAATATAGGCCTAACTGTATTTACCAGCATAAGCAAAATAAATACTTGCCCCTATATAGCAAACATACAAATTATGAAATCAGTAGGCCTACAATGTAGTAAGAAAAAATATAACTAAAATACCCCCGCCGCAGCAAACCTGCAGAGTTAGCAAATTTTCATTTGCCTGATTGGATTTACTCTAAAATGTCTCCTTTAAAATATCACATTTATTCCCTAAACAGAATTAGTTTAATGAGTACTTAGGTTTGCTGCAACAGGGAGGGTAAACTTTTTTTATATTTAAAATGTTAAAAGGTACTGTAGTTTAGTAAGAAATTAATGTATTTTCCAAATTTGATCAAAATAAGTTCATAAACAAGCAAACTACTGTACAACAGTAGACTTATTCTCCATAAGAATAACATAGGAATTTAAAATTAAAATTTTTTTGAATTTTCTCCGTAACAATTAGGCGCATAATAATGCTTCAATATACTAAATTATTTGTTTTTTTAAGCTCTACAAAATGGTTTAGAAAGAAATTGTGAAATGTTGCGTTTTTAGGGTCAAAAATGGGAAAAACCTATTTTTACCCCATCAAATCCACCATAAACCCCCGTAAACCTAGTCCGATCATGCTGGTTCACGAACTCATTAAAGTTTATCCCGCCTTACACCTTCAAACCAAATTTTATCAAAATCGGACAAAAATTATTTAAGTTATCGTGCGGATGGACATATATATATATCTATATATGGATATATAAAAATTTGAACGAATGGTGTTTTTGGCCTCTGGGGACATCAAAATGAAAAAGTAAATCGGTCCCGGGCCTAGGTCTTACCATGAAACCTACGGTAATAGCTACTTCCCTATAGGGAAATTCGCTAAAACGGTTCATTGTGTTGTTTAAGTCAATGATTGAAAAGGATAATTATTAGCGAATTTCCCCATAGGGAAGTAGCTATAACCGTAGGTGGCCGGCACCGATATAAATTTTCATTTTGATGTCCCTAGAGGCCAAAACACTATTCGTTCAAATTTTTATATATGTATATATATAGAGAGAGAGATTTATAAATATATACATCCGTGAACGTGATAACTTGAGTAATTTTTTTCCGATTTTGATGAAATTTGGTTTGAAGGCGGGATAAACTTCAATGAGTTCGCGAACCAGCATGATTGGGCGATGGGAACAGGGGTTTACAGAGGGTTTTATGGGGTAGAAATTAATTTTTCTCATTTTTGACCCTCAAAAAACAAAATTTCCCAATTTCTCTCTAGACCATTTTAAAGAGCTAAAAAAAAACAAATAATTTAGTGTACCAAAGTGTTGATGTACGTTTTTTGGTTATGTAGGGTAGAAAATTCAAAAAAACTGCAAATTTAAAATTCCCATGTTATTTATTCTTATGGGGAGTATTTAAAATGTTTTAGTTTGCTTGTTTATGGAAATATTTTGATCTAACTTGGCTAATTTATTTATTTTATACTAAGCTACCAATATTAAAAAAAAAAACACAATTTATTAGCCTTCCTATAGCAGCAAACCTAGGTATTCGTTAAACCTAATGTTATTTAAATAGATTTAATTCAAAATCAATTCAGGTAAATGGAAATTCGCTTAGTCTGCAAGTTTGCTGCGGCAGGGTTATCGTGAACACGATAACTTGAGTAATTTTTGTCCGATTTTGACGAAATTTGGTTTAACCCTTTGAGGTTGAATTTTTCCCAATTTTCGCCAAGTATAGTTTGCCATTAGAGCAGTCGGGAAAATGGCGCCCGGTGACCGATACTCGCCATTCAACTGCAAAAATAAA